GTATCATTCTCCATTCATTGACACGTGATCTTTATTGCATACCCATTCAGTTATTCCTTCATCATGTACCATGACAACCCCCTTTTTCAATTGCAAGCTATTATTAGTTCCCATCATTTGCACCCCCATTGGGACTACGTATGCTATGAGAATGTAAGAGAAAGTGGATGCTGTTTTGGCCAGAGTCAAAACCTTCATCCATAAAAAATGTTTCAGCTGGATATAGAGAAGGTCTTGGAGGCATTTCAAGACTTTTAACATCATCTGTTTCTAATATCTCTATTACTTTGTTATTGAAAGACGATTAAATGGGTTTTAGTTATATCCACATAGAGTGCTATTATGAACAGTCTCTTTGCCAAATCTTTTCCTCTTTTATTCCAAACAATCTCCATGTCCATATCTTTGTTCTTCATTCAAATTGGTCGTAAATCTATAAGAGAAAGTAAAGTTAGCTTGAATGTTCTGCATGTCAATTCAAGTTCTTCTTCGACCTATCATTTCCATTAAAAGCATCCAAATTAAAACTGCATACGTCACCTTATGAGACTCTCTGGTCATACAAAAAAATTCTACAAATTCTATATAAATAATGAAAGAATTTTATTAAACAAAAAAATTATTTAATACTCAAACTTTTGGTTACATTTGCTCTCATAATTTTTCTTAATTTTTTTTAAATTCTATGCCACATGTGCCTACCTTTTTTTATGTACATATAAAGATCAGTTTCCAAGACCATTGCTAAATGTTGCAGATTCTCGAGTTAATAATTATAATGCAAACAACACTGTAAATAACAAGTGCGCGCGTGCGCATATAAAATTAGAAATAAAACTGAACTCGAGAACAGCTAGCTATTGTTCCATTTTAAAAGTACAAGCTGGTCAGAGTCAGTAGCAGTGACAACAGTAACTATGTGTGGTATCATTTTGTCAAACCAGGCTTCCAAATGTCCTATAGTTAAGTTAATAGTTGAACAAAAACTTGAACATAAATGCTTGAAAATGATATCCTTTAATTAACTCTTTATGTTTTTCTCGACTACTAGGCCCCCAATTACATTACTTCAATCCTTTATATCCCCCTAAATCATCAATAACCTTATGCTTCAATTTTTACGCAATGAACAAACCAAAAAGAGCAGAGAGAGAGAGAGAGAGAGAGAGAGAGAGAGAGAAATGTACAACCAAAAGCCCACAAACATAAATGATAATAATTGATCATATAAGTAACCATGCCTCAAAAAATTTCAATCGATAATATTACCTCTGAACAATGCAAATAACTACCACCCTCATCTTCCCCTCCAATTCAACACTTATTTATTATTTAAATTTCACATCCGTTGACCTCGGGATCTGAGGTTCTTGTTGCCTTCTATATGTCTCAATCTAAGGCCCAAAAACTCAGTTCTTCATTTCAGTTGGTGGTCAAAAGCAATTAATATAATTCTCTATATGAACGGCTAAGATTTCTGGGCTCTTCTTTTGTTCTCATATTTTCACCTCACTTGTTAGTTTGGGTGTTAAAATATCAAAATGGGATTGCAAGAAAAAAATGAATTATCCAAAAGTAGTTGAGATAATAAAGTTCACCATATGGCAAAATTTTCAAATGACTTTAAACGAAAAATTGGCTTTACCAGGCAAGAAACGCTATGGCTAGTTTTGTAACCCATTTTCTTCAATATATTTGCAAATGAAAGAATCTAAGGAGGGAAACATACATTGAGTTGTTAATGCGCACGTATGTATGCGGGAACAAAGTTATACCAGTCGAACTTCGTTCGAATACACACAGCAAAATTACACTACATTAAGAGAAATGAGTCACAAGGAAATGAAAAACATTCAGTTCTTCCTTTCATGCAGAGAACTAAAAAACTGACTGAGAACTGCACCCATACCTTCTCTTATAGGACACGTGTGGCAGTTTCTACTCAACCGCTGTTGGAGAAATATTACATTTGGGCCCCTAATAATTGGACATTGAACCAAACATTTTTATAATTACGATAAGAGCCCCATTCCCCAATTTGGGCTTTTATATGGGCCTAATCTATCTAAGGATGGATACCCCAACAGTAAAGATCCAAAAAAAAAACTAATAAGAGAATATCGACACTGAGGCAAGGGGATGATCTCCATACATATGAAAACACGTTTTTGTTTCATCTGTACAACAGATAAAATCACCAAAATATATCAAAAGTGTTTTTTTTTTAAAAAAAATTGAGAACAAAATGATGTTTTTTCAACAATTTATGATTGTTCCTAATTTGCAATCTTATGAATTTTGGTTTGACTCTTTTAGACCTTTTATATCATAAAATTATTTAAATGTTGACAGCATTGCATACATTTCTTCTAATGCTATTTGAATAAGATATCCTATTTTTTGTTTGCCGAACATATTATCCTAGCCTATAAATAGAAAAAAAAAATATGCCCAACAACCGCTTTTATTGGACATGAATATATATTTATCAATTATCGAAAGATATAAAACATACATCAAACTTCTCTAGCCTTATATATATTAGAAAATATCTTGATTCATCAAATACTAGAGTGAAATGTCATTGAATAGAATAGTTAATCCAAGGTTGAAAAATGAGAGCTGTGAGTGACTTGCTTCATTGTTAGTCGAGATTTTTGGTGAGGGATGAGCATGCTAGTGCTATTGTGACACAAAGAATTTCATCTTGAGCATCTCTTTGTAATGGAAGTGAGAGACATGAGTCTGTGACATCTCTTTAAGAAAATGCTTTGATTAGAGATCTCTATCAAAGATAGTATTTGTCACGCCTCTCAAAACAGAGGGTAACCGGCACAGGATGTGAATGCATATCACACATCCCTCAAGCCTTAGATTGAGAAATCTTTTGATTTTAAAACATAATTGAATTGTACTGAAAAAACTAAACATACTTAAAAAAGTATTATAATAAAAGTTTCAATATTTTGTAGAAATTTCAACAGAACTTTTCTTATAAATAGGATCTCCCAAAAATTATACAACACAATATTTTACATAAAATATGGTATCATTCAGAAATATAGCTCCTTCCAGCCAGCAAAAAATTATATCAAAATGTAAACTAGCTATAAGCTACGTGGAGTACTGAACCTTACTTTTAAAATAAAATATGAATTCAAGTATTTACATAAATAAATAAATAAATAATAATGCTAAGCAAAATTCCACCTAGACCAGTTATATGCCCTTCAGAGGTCAGCAGTGGAATCAGCGTCAACTAATGAATCTGAGACCAAAATAAATTTTAATGAGGCATCCTAACAATAAATAATTAAATATGTATAAGACAAATTTAAAATAATCATGTGTGCTAGAGATGATAATTTTTGCAACAAATATTTTCAACAATTCAACCTACAAGGACCTATGTAACTTTAAATAAAATCATAATTCATTAAATTAAAGTCTTGTATCGAATGTCATTATTATTTAATTTCAATAAAGCAAATAACTGCATTAAATAAATAAATATGTCATTATCAAAACTATGAAAAATAGATCTATCAAATATAAAAACTCATAATTATAGGGATTTATAGAAAAGTAAAAATCGTGGACACACAGTCTACGAGGAATAAATAACAAACCTGGCTTATGCTACAAAAACAAACGTGGACACACAGTTTATGAGGATAAGTAACCAATGCAGCTTGAGCTATGAAACAAACGTGGACACATAGTCCACGAAGGGTAATGCTAACCAAACGTGGCTCGAAGCCACGAAAACAAACGTGAGTACAAGACCACGGATAACAAACATGAGAATAGAGCTCACAAAAATCAAACTAGTTAGTTATTTACCAAGACACACTAAGGACACACGGAACTGCCGTTAGCAATCAGTGTTCTGTTATAAATTCCCTTCAAATTCATTTCAAACATGCAAGAAATCATCATTTTCAAAATAAAATTTTCACTTTCAATGTAAAACTTGCATGAATCATTTTTCCATAACAATTCAATAATTTTCAGAATGAAATCCCACAATCAAAGTCCAAAGTTGTATTTATTGAATAACTAACATTTCAAAAGTGATAAAGGTAATTTCATAAAATAAAGAAGTTTAATCAACAAATATCCAATACTCACATTATTGTTATAAAATGATTTGCATATAAAATATAATATTTTAGTAAAGAAAATTTTATTAGAAAATCAGTTAGGCGCTATCTACTTACCTGAAATTTCAAAATTTAAGAATTCACCTTTTAATGTCAGCTAAATTCTCCTCCTCCAAATATCTTTGAATTAAATTAAAATTTTTAAATAAACTTTGCATAATCTCAATT